GACAATCAGGGAAGAGAATGTGTCATATATTGCCAACACCGAGCTTCAGAGTGTAACATCCAGAAGGGTTTTATTTCTCATTCTCAGATACCAGCTGAGGAAAATATTAAAGCATCTGTTTAAATACTTTCCTGAACCAGGATCTAGTTCTCCATTTCATTAGCTTTGAAAATGCTTTGCTAAAGAGTACTTCTGATCGCTTCAAACCATGTCCAGAAATTAGTAGTTGGACAAAAAACCAGTTGGTTTCAAGAACCGCAGAAATAAATTCATAATTCAATATTTTGAATTAAAACTGCTCCAAAATGAAGTCTGGATTATATTAAAGCAATTTAAAACATGAGACCTACTAATTAGATGCATTAGGTACTGTACCATGTACATTACTTCTGCATAGAGTAAAGTTTCTCTATTAAACTAGACCCAAAACCAAATGAGGTGCAAAAATCTAATATTTATCTCCTTGTTTTTTTTTTTCCCACTGATTAGAAACAGATCACTGTAAACAATATAGAAAATCTATCAAAAATGCCCCATTTTCCTATTAATATTAAGGAGTTTCATCAGGACTGTCAACTTCTAAGCAGTCAGGGGTCACAAGCCTCACAGGCCACATTCCCCGGGACTGCAGCAGCATAGGCCACAGGCCACGCACTCACCCCTTGGACCTCTGATGCACCGTGATCTCCTCCCCCATGCTACCACGCCATGCAGACATTCAGAGTCATAGGCTACCCCGGCATGACAGGCTGAACTTCCCCCTGGGACACAGGGAGGAAGCAGAAGCTGGAGGATGGAGAGGTAAACTAGAAACCCCTGCTGGTACTGATGGGAGACAGCAGTGGCCAGGTGGGATTGTCTCAGGCTGCATACAGCCCATGGCGTACCAGTTGGACAGCCCGGAGTTAAATAAATCCTGTGTATTTCTCTTTCTGGTGCAAAAAGAGGCAGATTTCATTCTATCTATTGGGCACATAAGCAGACTCAAACATGCAAGTATGATTCTGTTCCACATTACTCGAGTCCCGGAAAACCTGTTGATACAAAAGATGGGTTTTTCTTCTTCCTTGCTACATTCTTGGTAATTCAGTTTACTGGTCAGAAGATAGCGGGTTACAAAAGCAGATACAGTATGGATTTTCAGGTGCCCTAGAAGTGGACTAGAATTTGGCCCTAAATTAAATAAAGATTCCAAAAGCAATGTAAACTTCACCATCCTGCATATTTGGTAAGATTTTGTGGTGTATGTATTGTGTAATAAACACAAGGAATATCTTAATCTATACATCTGTGTTAAAAATAAATAGCAATGGAAGATATGATTTACTCAGTACAAAGTGGGCGTATAGGTATTACACTAATATTTTCTAATTTCTATGATTCCATTTGCATTCATAACATCGCATTCATGGACTTTGTTTAAAAGGGAACTGTTTAACTTCATTTCATTGCAAGGAAAAATGAATTTTCCTTTTAAATTCTCCTTTATTAAACTTTATTGTAACCTATTGGACAAAACCTACTGAATTGATTTTAGTGAAAATGTAATTGGTTTTCATCCATTTTTGGCTGGAGAACCAGTGTTAGCATTTGTTTTATAATTATCCATCTAGCTGTCCATCCAAAAACCGTAGGCCAAACAGCAGAGGCTGTTTTGAACAAGAGACTCTGGGGAATTTTACAAGGACTTGACTATTATTGGTTTTACCTGGAAGATGTTCAAACAATGCCATGGTGAATTAGAGTATTAAAACTTGAGTCAGTAAATTCACCTCCTGGTTTCCTAGCTCTGTGATAATTGAATATTCACAATAGAAAAACAAATAGAAATTCAAGCCATTTTTCTAAAACTCTAATGCCTCCTAATGCAATTCTAATGCCTCTATCGTATGTACTCTATCACTGCAGTTGCTATATATTTTTGAAAAATCTCTCCATTTCTTTAGGTGTTGAAATGTAGATTTAAGAGCATGATTCAAAGCCTATAGCAGTAAATTGAATTAGTGAGAAACTAGAAAACCTCTTAATTCCAAGATGGTGAATATCTTCTGGGTCAAGTTCAGGGTTGTTTTTTGTTGACCACTGTTTCTCATTGTGTTATCTCCGTTGAATTTACTTTGTCTCAAGTTTTAATACTCTTGTTATCTACCTGTACTTACCTGTTGTCTCTTTTCTTCAAGTATCTTTTATGTCTGTTTGTGTGGTGCCTAGCACATTTGAGCTTCTATGTGCTGCTACAATGCCAATAATTACTAAGTACAGTACATAGTTATTTGCATAGGTCTCCCAAAAGATGTGTTTTCCATGTTTTCACCATCTTACTGCCAGATTTGCTCAGAAGATGAAAGCATCACATTTTGAATTGTTCATTGGCCTGGTTTTACAGTTATAAAGCAGCCTGAGTTACCTGTCTAAAAGAGTTTTGTGAACAGGGGATTTATGGGTTGTGTAACTCATTAATCGAAGTTGCAAAGAATGTTTTGAATATTATTAAGATTTTGGTAAGCTCTGTTATTTTACTACCTCTGGGTTTGCTCTCTCTTCCTGTAAAGCTTTCCACTGGTTTTGTTTAACTTCCATTGATGTTGTAATTTAGGTTAATTTTAATTTCATGTGCCAATATGTTAACATTGAGTCACCACTGAATCTTTACAAAGCAATATCCATCCTTCTAAAGGTGAAGCCTAAGGGAAAACTATACCCGATTCTAAATCAACAGAGGTATGAACCAGCCCCAGCTGCCAAAGTACTCTATAAATTTTTTGGAATCATTATTTAGGTTTGTGGTATGATTAAGTTCATATATGTTGCTTAACAGAAACAAAATACAGGCTTGCAAAGGGGACCTAAAGAAAAAATTGTGCTTTCATTATAATCCTTTATAAATGCCAGCAAATGTTATTTGAATTGATCAGTCATGTTTATTTTGATTAGGGGTAGGAAACAGTGTCACTGAAATCTCCACACAGATTAGTCTGGAACTGGAAACAATTTATTTCCTTCCCTTTGTGCAGCTTGTCTGATATTTTATAATATAAGTCTGCCATCTAGTGATCATAAAAGGAAGGGAAATAGCCAAATCCTGCCTCAAATTCCTAACTGGTGGATTGTTAATAAGTAGCTGAGCTCTTTTGCCAAGGATTTTGAAGATTTAAAAGCTAATTCTTGGAGTACTTTGACTTTTCTTCCTTTGGCTCTTTTTGAATAGAAAATGTGTCTACCAGCCTAAGTTTCAGTATACTTTTTATATGGCAAAATAAAAATTAAAAACTCAAAGGGCAAAATTTCCAAAGAGCACATCTCTTACTTAGGCCCTAAATTGAGGCTAGGTTTTTGAAAGTGTGCTGCATTTATCTGTTCCGCTTATGGCTAGATATTTCAAAAGTGATCATTACTCATTGTGCTGAGAAGTTTTAATGGTGTGGCAGCTTCATTTTTGTACTAAATGCATGATGGAAAAGCAAACCCAAATTTTGTTCAGGGCAGGGGGGAGCCTAGGTTCCCATCTCACTTCCAATAAATGTTTAAGTCACTTAAACTTTCAAAATCATAACTCTCCCCATGCCACTGAATGCCCTAACCACTCAACTAGAGAGTCATACTCACTTCCTTTCCCTCTTTCTGGCTCCAAGCTGAATAGTCTCAACAGGAAGGATCGAGAAGACTAACTAATTTGGTAGAGCATTATGAGGTAGGAGACAGACAGGTTCACATGCCCTCAGCTGGGGGATGAAGTTGAACCCCGTATCTTGGGTGTGTGGTTGAACTACCAAGCTATTAAGTAAACATAAATAACATCTCTTCCAGCCACATTTTGTACAAAGGCCACACTGGTAGCTTTGCTCAGAGAATAAAAAATAGATAAAGCCACTATTTTTGTCTCCAAGAGGCCTTAGGAACAAGTGAGGTTCCTACGTGCTCAGCAGTGCCAAGAAGTGGGAAGTTCGGGGCATGCTTAGAATAAAATCCTTAGGCTGATAGACATCCATTTGAACACAGAATGGATGGTCTGCACAGCAGGAGGTGTGATGTGGGATCAGGGGTCAGATCCCAGTTGCACTGTACTGCCAGTATAGAAGGAGCCTTGGATCGAGATCCGGACTGTTCCAGGGCTTGAACCCCAAGGTGGTCCCAAACACCTGATCATTGACTGGCACGGACTACACCAGGGCATGAATCCTGGTGTGGTCCCTGCCAGCAATCAACAGATTGGGACAGCCCTGGAACTGAAACCCTGGGGCAGTCCCAGTCCTATCCAGGATCAGCTGATCAGGACTGCTCCAGAGCTCAAATCCAGGGGTGGTCCTGATTAGCTGATCATCAGCTGGCAGGGACCACCCAGGGGCTCGAATCCCGGGATGTCCCTGCCACATGTTTAGTTTAAGGAGCAATGGAAACAAGCCACAAGGTTATTGCACATATTTTGTTTAATAACTTTGTGGCTGGTTTCCTTTTTTATTACACTATTAATCCCCTGAACATGTGTCTGGTTTACACTTTAAGATGCAAGTAACTGCTTAATCGTGTCTTAAGTGTAATGATTTCCTGGGACTTCAAGCACCTATGGAATTATAATTTCAACTTGGATTCTAAAAGGTGCCTTCAGGGTTCGACTACATCTGAACTGGGATTTTGAGAATCTGAATGTTGAGTGAGGTGTCTAAAATGGTAATTAGACTGTACTTAATTATGTAAGCTTATCTATACCTCTAGTCCTAAGTGTTGAAGTTGGCTTTGAAAATGAAACTTAAGACCATAAAACACTTAAATACCTACAACAATCTAGCCCATAGAGTCATCCAGACATTGCAAAAATGAGTGTGAGCACTCTAAGTACCTTTACAATTCTGGACCTAAGCAGCCAGCTCAATTTCTTTACTAAAATTGAATCAAATAGCAACAAGACATGACTATTATGTTTTTTTATTCATCACCAAGCACAGAGAAACCAGTAAGTACAGTATTGCCTTATCTTGCTTTCTCATGTGTCTGGTCTTCAGGGGGTGATCTGTTTGCCGGTCTCTACAATGACTATTGGGGAAGAGATGCTGCTATCTTTCGTACTATGGGTCGTATGCCTCATATTCGAACTGAACCTGATAATGAACATCTCTTGAAAGGTATGAGACGTGGAAAAAATGCATGATTCTTACTTTTCACAAAGTCATAAAAATCTTTGGAAACCTGGACCAACAGACGTATTTCATAAAAATGAAAACTTACAGTTTAATGAACTAAATTCATCCTGGATCCAGCAGGTGGTGAATTTGATTAAACTAACTTTTGTTTTGCTTTTTTTTTATCAATGACAGCAAAATAATTCAAAGCAATGTTTAGCAAAACCAAGGGGGTTCATTTTCAATGTCTAATATTTTTTTCAAATGGTTTATTTTCAGAATTAACTATTTGCCCTGTAAAATAGAATAATAAGTACTATATGACCAGTAATAAATAGACAATTGAAACAAGTTTTCAAAATGTAATTATATAATTAAATAGGTAATTAAATACCTTACAAACAAGAAATATAACTTGTTTAAATTTGATTTCCTTTAGTTATGATGTCAGGTTTTTTTTTTTATTTCCCCTATTTTTAAATTATGATATTTACATGGGAAATATTTTTAAAATATAAGTTAAACTACATTAAAAAGATAATAATCAAAAGAAAAATTCCAAGTAAATCCTTAATGGCAGCACCATTGTTTCATTAGTATCAGAGCAGGGATTTATTAAACATTTAAATTAAAACAGTAAGGGAATATCGTGTCCATGGCACCACAAGAGGTCATCTTAATGGAAAAATGTTAATCTTTCTGGTCATGTGCTAAACATTTACAAAGTGGGCAAATACAGTTTTCAACTCTACAAAGAAAGCTTAGTTCAGGGAAATTCCAGGTGATTTCCAGTTGCTAAGGTGCACACAGCTCCTCCTGTCTATAGGCATGGAGACAATCTGTCAACTGATCTCACTGGGCAAATGGCTGTTTGCCTGAAGCCAAAGTTTTTGCTCCTGTGTCTAATTTATACATGGCCACAGAATGTTACATAAGCTCAGTGCCAACTTTCAGCCTAATACAAATTAAACTGTATAAACTCCAGAGAACAGGATTGGAAAGAGATCTTTTTTCCTTAAATGTATACAAAATAATATTGATTTGTAAATTGGAGCTATAAAAATAGGTTTTAAACTAATGTTTACCATATGTTCTGTAGAAACACAACCAGCTGAAATAGGCTTGGACTCTATTTTCATCACCATCACCACTGCCCCCCAGCCAGGGTAGACCTCTGATTGACAATTCTGTGCAGTCTTTGCTATATTATCATTTTTGCTATTGCTATTGATGGTAAAATGTGTTTTATTCTAATTGCTGTGCCGTTTTGATAAACTTTATCCACCTCCTCTTTCTTTTCTTTTCAAGAACCAAAGTTTGTTGGTTCCTACATGATTCCTGACAATGAAGACCATGATGATAATAAAGTTTATTTCTTCTTTACTGAAAAAGCAATGGAAGCAGAGACTGGCACTCATGCCATTTATACTAGAGTGGGCCGTATGTGTGCGGTAAGATATGTTCTTTCTTGATTCTCCAGTGGAAGCACAGAAGTGTGCCCGCTGCACTTCCAAGTGTCATCAGTTAGTAGTGTTGGGTGTGGATATAAAAGAATGTAGTATGGGTGTAAATGAAAACCATACATTTAAAAATCCCTGAATTCTGGGCAATGTAAGCTTCCACCCCATCCAAGTTTCAAATCCAAATCTGTGCCTGAAGCTTGAATGGGGTGGAGGCAAGGGAGCAGGTGATCCATAATCCAGAGATGGATCCAAATGTGCTCTTATTCTCTTGCAGTTAAATTTGGTAATAAAAATTATTCTCAGCACTTTTCACTTACATAGCACTTCACAGGCTAGAGTTGCCGCTTGGAGCACAGAGAAAGTGTTTCAAATTCCTCCTCAGTTTTAACACTAATGTCAATGCAACCCTGGTGCCACTCAGAGTGATTGCCAGACAACTCTGAATTACACCACTGATATAACTGGATAGTCCTCCATCCATGGAGGACAGGATTCACTCAGCCTGCCCAGAGATGCTCAGTCCTCTCAGCCCTGATGCATTGGTTCCCACCCCAACAAATTCCTTATGTCCAGGAGTAGAGGAATAGCAGTCAAGAGGCTCCTACCCAGCCACTGGTGTTTCCTCTTCCAACAGGAAATGCTTACTGGCCTTGTACTGAAATAATGGTGAAATGGCTCCGACCTTACATAGAATTACGGAATCATAGAAAGATAGGAATTTAGCATGTCATCAAGTCCAACCCTTGCTGAAAGCAGGATTATCCCTTTTCCCTCTTTCCTAGCCAAGTCTCTCTTTAATTCTGATAACCAGAAATGCCATAGTCTCTCTAGCTAATCTGTCCCACTGGTTAATTTATCTCAAAGTTAGAAAATTCTTCCTGATATATGTTTAAAGCACTTTATAAATATAGTAATGATTAATCCTTCCCAGATAGAAATGGCGCACACATATATTTTTCATAATTTATAGGAACTGCATTCATAAATCTGATGGATGCACAGGAAGCAGTAAACTTAATGTACAACATGCAAAGTAACTTTATTAGTTTTTATGAATTTTAATATGGTATTAGACACCAGGGTGTTAGACACAAGAAGACTGCTTATTAAAACTGTGTAAAAGTGATATATTAAATGCATATATAAAACACCAAAATAGAGACAATACCAAATTGAAATCTAGGATATGAAGTTGTTTTGTTCTGAATCCAAATTTGTGCCTAGAACTTGGCTGAAGTTCTTTGGCCTATGTTATGCAAGATGTCAGACTAAATTAGTATAATGGTCCACTCTCATCTTTAAATGTATGAATCTGAATTTTTGATCTCTACAGTGGGTCAAATCAAAATCCCCTAGACCTGCTCCATACATATAAATCTTATTCGTCTGGATCTGAATCTGGAGATTTTTTTCCTGGGTTTTGTAAATCAAAAAATAAGAAATAAAAAGACAAAAAGAGAGAGCAATAATCAAAAGAACCATTCACAACTCAGTTGTGTCAGTTTTCAGTCTTTCATAGGAGTTTTTTTTCTCTTTGCTTGTTTTGTATGGCAGCCAATCCTTGTAATTTCACTGTCTTGAGTTCAAATGTTCCTAAAAATCTCAGTGTGACACTAAAGAAAGCAACAAATTTTGCTTGACTTGGGCAGGAGTTTAAAATCGTTTGAACAACTCAACTAAAGAGCATTTGACACAAGATTGTGGAGTATAAATGATTATTGGTCTGTATCGCTATGAAATATGCTAGCGGGGTTGGTTATATTACTAGGACTAATTAGGACTCAGGCACCCTGGCTGGCAATCCCAACAAGACAAAAAAGCAGCCAGAAGCAGGAAAAGTGCACTAAATCCTACAGTCTAAAAGTAGCCTTCTCATTGATGTTGATGCAGTTTGCAAGGCACTGCGCAGAAGTTTGCAGTTAATTTGCTTCAGCTGTATCTGTGGGGTTGAGGGCTTCAGTCTCCAAGTTAGTTGATCCAGCCCTTCATTTGGTTCCTAAGATAAGGTTACTTGATATGCCAAATATTCATTCTAACATATTAGAAATACATTTAAGGGTATGCAACAGTTAAAACTAGTTGTAGACCCAGTATTTAACTAAACATCCTTACAAACCCACAGCTTTTAACGAGAAATGGGTTTGATTGCTTACTAAGGACTGACTCCAAAATAATAACACAAGTGGAGTGGTTGATTTGTGGTTTGAAATTACATGCCTTTGACATTAAAAGTTATGATGAGAGGGTAATTCAACATATTGTTAATCTAGAATTATTCATCCTAATTAGCATTAGCTTTTGTTTGTCTTTGCACAGAATGATATGGGAGGACAGCGAATGCTGGTGAATAAATGGAGCACTTTCCTCAAAACCAGACTGATCTGCTCTGTGCCAGGAAAGAATGGAATTGATACACATTTTGATGAATTAGGTATATCAGAGCACAAAAAAACCCCTACAACCCTTTTATAGAATGTAAACCTTATGCTAATCCCTCTTACCCTCAAATATAATCACTGACAGGAAATGCTTGTTCCTGAGTCCAAAGCCTATGAAACGTTATATACATATTCAGTACTATCATTAATTACACTTTTATGTATTGTAAGATTTCTATACAATGTTTCTAAACCTGTATAAAATTAAGTTATGTATATAGAAAATATTAGCTTATACTCTTAATAAGCAGTGATTTTGTTTTCTCTTTTGGGACTGAGAAAGTAAACTGACAGTACCCAACCTTTTATATTTATTTTACAGAGGATGTGTTTTTGCTACACACACGGGATAGCAAAAATCCAGTGATATTTGGACTTTTTAACACAACAAGGTAAGCAACTAGGAATGATGTCAGTAACAGCATCATATTTGTTATTGTATTTGGAACCAAGGGAAATAGTTTCTGGTAAATACCATATAGCAAATATGTACACGCTGAGTGAACTATATAATCCCTAGGCAGTTCAGGACCCTTCCTTTCTAACTTAAAAACAGCAAAGCTTTACTGAAAGCCCCATATAGCTTTCTCAGTAGAAAGACTCTGGTTGACTTGTGTTGGCAGTGGATCATCCTCACCGGCCCTGAATCAGAATCAAGGAAGACAATGATTCTGTACCAGGTTGATGTATAATATTAGCTGTTATGCAAATACCTGCATATGAGTCACAGAATAAACCCACAGATTTTAAATAGGATTCCACAGGATCAAAAACATTCTGACCTGGTGTGATCTCTCTCAGTTCTCTGCAGCAGAAATGCTCAATTATTTTTTCTTAGTCAAGAAAAAGAGTCAAAGCTAAAAACTGGCTTTTTCTAAGGAGTGTCTTGAGTCTAATGAGGGTAGCCTTGAGCCTAAGAAGGTTGGGAACCACTGGTGTAAGAAAAAGCTTTGAGAGAAGACTAATGAAAATATGAAGTCCTGAGGTCTGTTTTCTTACAGACATCTTGTATGACCTTTGACAATTCATCTAGGGCCTGATATTGTTCCACATGTTGGATGCCTAAGCGTAATACTGTTCCATCCCACTTGAGTCCCTGAAAACCAGTTAATACAAAGGTGGATGGATCCTCCTCCTGCTCACTGTTTTTGTGACTTTGTATTAAGACAAAGATGATAGTGTATAACAGCAACAGATATGGTAATGGTTTTCAGATATTGAGCAGGGTGGAATAGGATCACACTTGCATGCTTAAATCCATTTAGGCAGCAAACAGGTGGGAGAGGATGTTACACAGTAATTTTGGGTAGCTCCTGGAACTCTTAACCCCTGGACTGTCCACACATTAACACCTTAAAGGGACTTAAAGCACTTGTTACGCAGCTTAAAGTTACATCACTCCAGGGCAGGATTATCTCTTGACCTGCACTACCCAGCTCCTTTTCCATTGAAGTGTGTCCACTCTCCCCAGATGTGCCACTCAAGTTGAAGGTGTGCCTGCTCCAAGCTCCAAACTAGCACTAAGGTGATCAATGTCTGAGCAGTTCACAGCACAAGGTATAACAAGGCCCTCTGAGTCTGTCCCTACTGTCTCCATGCTGTGCTTGGATACATTTTGGCCTGTCCATTTACTCTGACTCTACATATGCCAACTCCCCCAAATGGGGCAATTTAGCCACCTCAGAGCAGTTATGAGGGCATACCAGTGCTGGGCCCAGGGCTTTTCAAACCACAGCACTTTTAGTTCCCAGCTGAGCCGTTCTGGAGAATGCCTTACCTACCCGTGCACACAGGCAGACTCCAAACCCAGATATACTCTGGTGAGGTCACTCCAAGGACTGACTTAACAGACTCCAAAGACCAAGGTCAGAAGAGCAGCTGCAGAGAGTGCTTGGACTGTGTTCACAAGCTTGCTTCCAGCTGAAATGGGTACCTGTAGGGGTGGCTTGGTGGGTCGTGTTGGGGAATGGCTGAGTTGGGACACACTGCCACCACACGTAGATTTGCCAGGTTTTGGTAACTATGCTGAATGTCATTAGCATAACTACTGACCTGGGCAGAGCTAGTAGGTGAGCCCCAGGCACTGATTAAAGTATGGGGTGGGGGGCAGCAAGTGGTGCTGGAACTGATGCTTGGGGGGCGCTGAAGGAGATAAGCTAACTGCTAGTACAGAGGTACAGGTTTGGGCTATGTACCAAAAGCCAGTCGGCGATGTAAGAGTGGGTTTTAGGACCTAGCAGCTAACTGTTTGCGGTGAAGAAGAAAGGGTGAAGACAGGGGAACAACTCCCCCCTGCCACTGAATTAGGGATCTTATTCTTTGTCCAGCATGGCATTTGGTAGCTCCTGTGAGGAGGCCAGAAGTTTAACTCTGCTCCCCCATAGCTTCTGGGACTAGAGCTCCACATTTTGGTTCCCTGCTTCACTTCTGATTTTTATTTCACAGCAATATATTCAGAGGATATGCTATATGTGTCTACCATATAGCTAGTATCCGAGCAGCTTTCAATGGCCCATATGCTCATAAAGAGGGACCTGAATACCACTGGGCTCTTTACGAAGGAAAAGTACCCTATCCCAGGCCTGGTTCAGTAAGTAAAATGAAACACCTTTTTTTCTACAGTTACATCAATCTAAGTCGCGTTGCAAAGAAACAAAATAGGCTGGTAGGGGTGTGCATACCTTCATAATGAGGATGACAGAGGTAATAGCTAGCAACCCGCAGCTATTGGAAATTTCTAAAATGACTCAGCAGTAAATTTTACAATGACATATTTTCCTCAGTGGAAATCAATGAGCGTTAGATGGATTTTTGAAAACCCAGCTAGGCACCTAGCAGAAACTTTACCTTAATACTTTTAAAAGCTGGCACAGTGTCAATACAGGAAAGGAAATGACAGTAGCCTAGGCATAAATTGATGCAGAAAATTGTATAATTTGCTATTCAACCCATTTGCTATAAAATCTATTGTACTCAAAGGTTTTTTGCTCTTGCTGCGTTTCTGAACAAACCAATATATAATTTATCTGCAATAGAAGAAGAGAGATGAGATACGCTCAAAAAAACTTGAAAAGAGTTAGAATTTCTGCAACCTAATATAATTATATGAACAAATTTATGTTCCCTGGCATGATGAAGGTTAAAAAAGGAAGGAGACACACTAACAACATTCCTTTGAATAATTATTTAAATGCTGTGCTTTTGTTGTAGTTTTAATTGTGTGTGAGGTCAGGTAGCTGGTGAACTACATACCACCTGTAGAATATATCAACATACCGCTGAGAGGCCTGCATGATAATCCCAAGGTTGCTGACCCAGGATGTAGACTTGGTGTATAGCTAGACTTCTGAAAGGGATCTTGTATGCTCCCACTGCAATGAGAATGATGTTTCTTCGCAGCTTCTGTATCTCTATTTCTCTCTGTCTCTAAATGGCTCTCATCACCATAGGATCTGACCATGTCCAAGTCTGAGGGCCTCAGATCTCATAACTTTTATATTCTCTTTATGCTAATGTATGTTGAGGGTGCACAAAACATTGCAGAAAGTTCTCAGTATTTTGCAGGTTCAGGGTTACCAAAGACCTGCTTCTTTTCTCATTCCCTCTGGTGTAAATCAGGTGTATCCGTATTGAAGTCAATGTGACTACAGTATGTAACAACTGGACACTTCATGTGTCCAATTCCAGAAAATTCATATCCTGGATTTCAGTTTGGTATTACGAGAAATTGGACTCCCATAATTTCCCTATTGTGCTCCTTCTACACAGTTGTTTGGAATATAACTATTTTGTTATGCACACCTGTTATAAACCCTCCAAGAGGTTTGTTTTTTTTAGCCTCAACAACGGTCTTTCCTCTAAAATGTCAACTTGAAGCAGATTTGTGGCTATGTGAGGCCCAGTGACATCTGAAAGATCTATATAGCTATTCCTCACTTTGAAATTTCACCCCTTTGTTTTTTAATGGCCTAAAGGTTTTCTCTCCTGAGCTTACCAGTAAAGAAGTAAATAGTCTTCTGCAGCATTATTCATAGCATTGCTTTTCCTTTGCTTTCCAAATCAATATTCTTTTTTACTAAAAGCAGTCATGTGCATAAATAAACTCTGTATGCATTTCATTTATCACAGAATCACAAAAATGAGAGGTGAAAAGGCTTGTTAGCTTACCTAGTTTATACCAATATAGCTTTGTTCTCTACAGTATAATTTCAAATTCATGACCTGTCTAATTTTCAATGACTGCTGGCTTCCTTTGTGTCTCTTGTAGCAAGAGACACAAGACAAAATACAATACAAGATGCTCCCCTAAAGTGATTATGTTGGCTATGAACACTTTAAATGAGATGTATACCACCTTGGCTAGTAAACCACCACTGCAGCAACTGTTATAGCAAAGTCCCAGGGCTCGTTTCTTGTTTGTTTGATGTAGGGAGAAGCCAGAGATTAAATTTGGAGAAGGAAAGCATGGATTTATAACAAACAAATCATGTCAAATAAACTTGATCTCCTTCTTTGACAAAGTAGCTACTTGGGTGGATGAAGGGAATGCTGTGGACATAGCAAAACTGGACTTCAGCAAGCCTTTTGACAAGGTCCTGCAAAAACTTCTCATGCATTGGAGAAATATGGGCTCGATAAAACTACTACAAGGTGGACAGAAAACTGTCTGAATAGCTTCATGCAAAGTGTACTTAGTAAGCAGTCCACATCAGAATGGCAGGAAGCATAGGGGTCTGACCTGGGCCTGGTGCTGTTCAACCTATTTATTGATTTGGATGCTGACATTTGAAGACATCATGAAACTGAGAAGTATTGAAAACATATTGGAGGATGTGAGTGCAATTCAGAAGGATCTTGACAGGTTGCAAAATTGGGCTAACAGGGTTCAGTGCAGACAAATACAAGGTGCCACACCTTAGGAGGAATAATCAAAAACACAAATATAAAATGACATCTGGCTGGATGGCAGCACTGTGGAAAAGGACTTTGGAGTCTCAGTGGACCACAGACTCAATATGTGTGCGCAGATTGATGCAGCCACTCAAAAAGCAAATACAGGTTTGGGATGCATCAACAAAAGCATTAGGTTCAAAACATGGGAAGTGATAGTGTCTCCGTACTCACCACTGGCTTGACTTCATCTGGAGTTGTGTGCGTGGTTCTGGGCTCTGTTTTAAAAAGGACATGGAAAAGTTAGAGAGGGTCCAGAGACAGGCAATAAAGATGATCAAGGACCATATGAGGAGAGGCTGCAAAAGCTATGCATGTTCAGCTTCCAGAAAGGGTACAAGATAGCAGTCTTGAATACTTGAAATCACCTTTTCTCCCTTGCTGCAGAGAGGGGGATGCAGACCAATTGCTTAAAGTTGCAGCGAAGTAAGTTTAGATTGGATATCCAGAAAAACTTCTTCACTGTTGGAACAGTGAGGCAGTGGAATAGACTGCCTAGGGAAGCTGTGGACTCTCCATCACTGAAGGTGTTCAAGAAGAGGTTGGGCAGCCACTGATTGGGGATGATCCAGGCATAGCTATGCCTATGTTCTACCTTGGGTATATACCATGCTTCTGGACTTAGTGGGTTGCTCCAGCCCCCCTACCCCCCAGCAGCTTTTTATTTTGCCTTATTTCAGGGTGTTTTTAAGCCTTCCTTCAGAAGCATTGGGCGTTGGCTACAGCTGAAGCTGAGGATTTCTTTGACTGTGGTGTGCCAATGCTCCTGCTGGGAGCAAAGCCAGAGGTTCCTGGCTAGAGGGTCTTGGCTTTCCACTCAGGGTCACACCAATTGCCATAGTCAGATTGGTACATATGTGGTAGTTTTTGTCTTCCTCTGCAGATGTGGGGGGGAGCAGGGGGGCACATAGCCCTCTACCCAGCATTTCTTGAGCATACATTGACAACATTTCATAGAAGCAAGACATTGGCTGCCATGGTTCCCTGTGGCATGCTTTACCTGTGGCAGGTGTTGATGTGTCAGGGTTGATGTTGTGCGGGCCATCTCCCGATCCCACCCTCGTCGCCATTTGCGGACGGCGGGGAGCGATTGGGGACCTTTTGTGCTGTGCACGGGCTGTGGCCAGCAGCCCGGGCACTCTGGATCGGAGAGAACAGGCGACACGCTGGAACTAGGCACGGACGCGTAATGGTTGATTCAAGATTATTTACTTACACTGAAGATGGTTGCGGTGTAGGCTGGACAGTTTCCAGGCACAGCTCCGATTAAATCCTCGTTTGAGGACTACGACAAGCTTGGCTCTCTCACAAAATTTGCTAGGCTCCGTGGATCCTTTTATTCACTCACCCACATGAAGTTTGCTAGGCTCCGTGGGTCCGGTTCTTTTGCGCGCGGGGAGGGATACGTCTAGGAATCTATCGGCGACGGGGAGAGGCTAGAGGCTGATCAGACCCCTGTTGCCTGCTTGAAATGCGCTGGGTCCAATAGGCTTCGCAGTGCTTAGAGATCTTCACACAGCGTGAAGTCTCCTCCTCCTGGTGTTCGTGGAGTCCTCCCTTGTGGGGGCTCTCCTCAGAGTTCTCCAAATTTTCAAGTTCTCTCTCTCCAACTTGGGCGGAAACCACCCAAGCCTTTTATACGGCTAGCAAGCCAATCACTAGCCGCCAACTGTG